TTTGCTCCAGGGGAAAAATTTCATTTTTTTGTATGGGCATGAATGGGGAGTACCGGGGTATGGCATAGTTTGTCTCTATTAGGTTATCAAAACATTTTCCTAGCGGGGTGCATTCCCCATTCGTGGGAAAATCCCTTTGTGGAAAAACCGGACAGTACAGAAACCCCCCTGAGTGAATCTGTTCAACGTTTTTCTACTAAAAATCTTTCATCGGGATCTGCTTTTTAAAGATATAAAAAAAACAGATCAGCACCACCGGGAATAAGGTTCTCAATGACCCGTACTTCATGTAGCTCTTTTTCCCGTGTGAGGAAACAAAAATCATTAAGGGACTTTTTTACGACTCCCACCAATCAAGGGGGACTTAAAACACTGAAGAGATCAAAAAGACTGGGTCACTGTCGACTCAAAAAAAATTTCACTTCCGTTCGAACAGGGGCACCCTTTGCGAAAACTTCTACTCTATGTTACGCACTCAATTAATCAATTTTAAAACCCCAAAAACCAACCAGAGCGTTTTTTCCCCCTCACCCCATTTGGAACTGCAAATTTTATTCCCCCCACTGTTCCAAAAAACACTGAAAACCCCACAACATAAAGACTGCACATTTACCCCAACCAAATGACTCAACCGCAACACGACGTCACACTCTTGCAGCCAAGTAATTTACAGAAGGGAAAACGCAATAAGTACCCAAACCCCCCACTTTGGATCAAAACGGACTCCAAGTTTTCACTTAAAAAAATTTTCCAAATCTTCCAAACCGTCCCCCCGTTTAGCCACACCACCCCACACCCCTGCGACTCCCCCGAAATCAAGACTCCCACGAAAAAATTGGGCGACAACCCCATGTCGGGCCCAACCGAAAAAATCTCCTTTTCCTACACAGCGAAAACGAACCCATGTTTTTTAAAAATCCCCTGCTTTGAGTCTATCCAAATTTCTGCTCTTGTTACATTTCTCAACTCGGAATCAAAAGCCCCAGCTGGTTTAAGCTCTGATTTAATTCTACCTATAGACATTTCCTTTATGCTATTCCACCTATTCCCCCTTCCCGTAAAAAAAAAGTGGGAAAGGGGTCGTCAAGTATTTATATTTTTTATTATACCGTGTTAAAAATATTTTATAAAAAATGTTTTCCCTATTCGGGGTTGTTTTGAAAACCGGGGGGTATTTTTCCTATCTCAGAGTGGGCCCGAAGAGATGAGTGAATTTTTGTTCAGTATGAAGCACGCAAAGAAGGGAAAATTTTAGTTGGGAGTGGGGCTGGGTGTTTTCAATTTATTTTCCATAGATTATTTACTGGGTTAAGTGCTCTCATGTTTACCTGTAACCCAGTGTGCAGAGGGTTTTTTAAGTTTTGGAGAGTCACAGCCTGCATTGACACCGCCGAAGGGGGGGGGTGTTATGGTGCCCCCTTTTGTTTATTTACTCACTATCAGTGTTCATGAAATAATTAGTACTGGGTAAAGGGGAAATTGTGTGGTGAAGTTGTAGTAATAGATTGTAGAATTCCATATTACTTTATTTTTTAAAAATAATTATATTTTTGTATAGGTGATTTTTGTGTCCTTCCTTAAAATACATTGCCCATTTAAATTATGCTTCAAAATTTTTGTATGAGGTAAAAGCTGGCCCTAAAGTGGTTTCTTTTTTAATTTTAAATAATATAAATGCCCCTAGACAGACAGGTCATTTACCCTTAGGAGCCAGAACTTTTATTTACATTACGCAGTCAAAAAAAAGGTACACCAAATAAATTCTTGGCCCGTAACCTCACTAGCTACATAAAAAGCCAGACCTCGGTGACTGACAACCGTTCAAAGTAAGTTAATATGATGCAACACCAACACCTACTTCTTCTCCCGAATATATAGAAAGTGAACAAAAGAAATCGATTTCTTTCTTAGTAAAACTCGTAACAGACTAAGAACATCAGAAGAGGGCTATAGTTTCTTGTACCTTGTCCCTACTAACCAAAAGACCAGCGAGGTGTGTTGGTGTACCAAAGACTTAGACTCCCAATTTGCCTATGAGACTCAACACATCTGGTAATGACAGCGCCCAGCACAAGTTAGCAGTTCTAGCGAAATATTCATCTAAACTTATGGATATAATTAGTCAAGTTCACCTTCCCTGGTCGTGTGAGGGAACTTGACATAAGTGATAAGGAGTTTGCAAAGATCGACGTCACTGCTTTATTAAGAAATGTTCCAGCTGACTAAGCCATTACTATTTTTTGCAGTGTGATTAATGATGATGCAGAGTTGCCTGTACCTTGTAAAATTTCGCGAGCCTCGTCGAGATATGATACATTCTAAATACTTTACTTTCATAAACGGTGAGTGTATATAACTGTTAAGGTTAATAACAAAAAAGGCACAATACTGTCCGCCAGACTAACACTCTTCGCACTAATCTCGTTCATACCTCTCCTCCATCTACAGATGCTCCTGGTGTCTATTTTGTTTCTTGCTCCTCCTGTTCTCTTCAATACTTTGGAGAAACTGGTCGATCTCTTTCTGACAGAGTTAGGGAGCACAAAAATAATGTTAGGCTTCCCGACACTAACAATGCTCTTTTCTGTCACGTCAGAGATCACAGCCATCCTACTGACTGGTCTTCTGCTAAAACTATCTTCCCTACTTCCAACTTTAACAGTCGCCGTCTGGTTGAGTCCTCCCTAATACACAGCTTTCCTTGTATGAATCTTGTCCCGGCTTCGTCTCTGTAGATGGCTTCCTCTCCCACTACATTGTAAAATGCTCCAAACTTCAGAACACCCGTGACCTAACCTGATTCCTCCTTTTTTCTTCTCCCTCTTCCCCTTTCCTCTTTCCTTTTTCTCCTTTGCGTTGTCTTTCTTCTGCCCTATGTAGTTGTTCCTTCTTCTTTCTTTATTTGTTCCCCCCCCCTCGATGTTCTTGCTCTTACCCTCTGTGGGAACCTAGCTCCCTTGCAGTGCTCCTCTTTCTTAGTATTTGACTGGCTCCTCCTACTCTTACTACCTCCCCACTACTACTTCCTTCCCTCCACTACTACTACCACCTCCTGCCTATATATACCCAACCTGCTCTCCTTTTTGTTAGTGTGACTTTGTAAATGGTCCAAGTCGGACCGAAACGTCGTCGTAAGCTCCTCTCTTCTATGTGCGGGTTATTTGTGTTAAAGTTAATCATGGACTTACCATTCCTAGATCAGTTACGTGGATACAATTAATGGGTTACATTTTAATCGTCATACCCTAAAACCTTGAAGTTTGTGATATCCTTAACACCATCAACACTGGAATCTACCATTAAACTGACTATAGAGGAGTACAGCCAGCTTCTGTTTCTCGACGTGCTGAAAGTTTATATCAAGCCAACCTACATAAACAACGTGTTGTATAACTTCTCCCAGCAGACATCAGAACTAAAAGAGCAGTAATTATAGATTTTTTCCTAAGAATTTACATAATTTCTCGTCAGTAGTTCCTGGAGGAAGAGTGCACATACATCACATATTCATTCAGTTCACTACACTTTCCTCTACACCTCATACAATGCAGGAAATGTGCGACACGCACATTTCCTGCAGTTTAGGTTAGGTTAGGTAAGGTTTGTCAGGAAACAGGAATGGTGTTTCCTGATGCGGGTCTTAGTCACATGATAACCCGATGCTGGAGTTCTTAGTCATCTGATCGAGGCCTTCCGCTGGCTTATTGGTCCACCCCTTTCAATATTATGGTCATAGTTATAATCATTTAGTAATATTTCCAATGCAGCTGAAGGAGATCCACCCAATTATATCCTGTTAAAATATCCACCAACTCTTCCGCTACCGTTCGACAACTTGTAGTGAAAACACTACAGCGACTCTATCGGTAGCACAGGAGTACACATAAAACTATGTGTGGTGTGATATGATACTTATATATGTATGGGAAACAGATAGATCTCTGAAAGTTAGACTACGTCAACACCTTGAAGAGTTCATAAGTTCGATCGCTAGCGACCTCAGCCGAATCCCCGGTTCGGTTGGAAAACATTTGGACGTGTTTCCTTAAAACACCTGTTGTCCATGTTCACCCATCAGTATAAAATAGGTACTTGGGTGTTAGTCGACTGGTGTGAGTCGCATCCTGGGACAAAACTGACTCAATTTGCCCGAAATGCTCTGCATAACAAGCGACTTTCTATATAGTAGTGTCATTGATGTCAGCTAGGACTGTATACCTTGTACATGTACTTGTAGAAATAAAGATATTATTTATTATTATTATTATTACTTATTATAAGGTGTCTCTGATCCCAACACAGAAACCACCATTTAAAGTTCAGTGAAGCTAGGTTACTTTTACAGGAAAGAGATTTGCGAAGATTAAAGTACATAGAGGCCGCCCTGATTGCCACAGTAAAACTGTCCATCAGAAGTCTGTAGTTGCACCATATCCACACTGTTGATCAGTTTGGATATTACCTATTTTATAGACCATTGTAACAGGTCTTTCTCAAACCCTACCTATCTCATCAAAGCTGAACTACTACTACTCCCTACTGCTACTGATTACTATTACTACTACTGATTACTACTGCTCCTACTCCTACTGATATTTTATCTATTGATACTACTACTACCACCACCACGCTCTCGCAGCTTGTCACCTGACTCCCGCCACTATATACTCCTATGAGTGAGGAAACCACTTGTGGAGTAACATCTTAATAAAATTACCTGAACAGTACATAAATGTCTGTTATGTGAATATAAGGCGCGCCTTTTTCCCCACAAAAACTCTTGGAAAATCAGCCTACTCCTTATATGCTCAAGGTCAGGGTAAAGGGCAGGCTTTGCGTTACACGCTAGCAGTTGTTTACTAACGTTACGTTACAACTGCTTGCAAACATTGTCTTACATGCTCGTGTGCCTTATATACCGAAAAATACGGTATAGTCCTTAAAATTTATAGCAATAAGGACAATGTGATCAACTTAGAAGGTAACTATTGGATACGAACCCTGGATCTTGAGCTGCATTTGGTGTGTATGACTACCATAAGTGTTAGTAGCAGTGCATGTGATGACACCTGAGTCCTCAGGTGCCACGTTAGTCACCTTCACCTCCGCCCGCACTCTGCTGCTGCTGCTCTCCTTACGCATGCCCTCTATCATGCCCACGCCCTCCACCATGCCTACGCCTTCCATCACGCTCAAGTCTTCTACAACCTCCACACTATACCTGAAAAGTCGCAGCAATGGTCATTTGAGATTATTAATTATTATTATTAATATTAATATTATTATTATTATTATTATTATTTGAAAAGGTTAAACACATAGAGTTATACAATTCATCCACAAAACAAATTTACCGACAATATCCTAGGTAAAATGTTGCAGTTTATTGTGGCAACGTTTCGCTCTCCAGGAGCTTCGTTAAGCCGTTACTGCTTGACAAAGCTCCTGGGAGAACGAAACGTTGCTACAATAAAATATCGCATTACTTGCATATGTGTCCTTTTACCTAATACACTTGTCCTTACGAGGTAGCAATCTCACTCACAAGAGCCCAGGGTTCTTCATCTTATATTCAAGAAACATCAAACTTAACCCCATTAATGTGTCATCGTAGTCAGCGTTTGGCACGTTTGGTCACTGCTTCCGTGAATGTGTGCACCATTCTGGACTGGGGTAACCAGCTAGGTGCTATGTGTAACAGAGATGTTAGGAAATACTTCTTTAGCTTACAGTGGTCAGGAAGTGGAACGACCTAGATAATAAAGTAACAGAGGATGGATCCATAGATAGATTTAAGAAGAGGTAGACGGGGCCAGGAGCTGGGACTCGGTCCTGAGAACCACATACAGGTAAGCATGTGTTAGGTAAGTATAAAGGAACACGCCAGCTCCCACCAGATCATACACTCACCCTCACATGGCATCACCACCAGGACATACACTCACCCTCACATGGCATCACCACCAGGACATACACTCACCCTCACATGGCATCACCACCAGAACATACACTCACCCTCACATGGCATCACCACCAGGACATACACTCACCCTCACATGGCATCACCACCAGGACATACACTAACCCTTACATGGCATCACCACCAGACATACACTCACCCTCACATGGCATCACCAACCAGGACATACACTCACCCTCACATGGCATCACCACCAGGACATACACTCACCCTCCATGGCATCACCACCAGGACATACACTCACACCCTACATGGCATCACTCACCAGGACATACACTCACCCTCACATGGCATCACCACCAGGACATACACTCACCTTACATGGCATCACCACCAGGACATACACTCAACCTCACATGGCATCACCACCAGGACATACACTCACCCTCACATGGCATCACCACCAGGACATACACTCACCCTCACATGGCATCACCACCAGGACATACACTCACCCTCACATGGCATCACCACCAGGACATTACACTCACCCTCACATGGCATCACCACCAGGACATAACACTCACCCTTACATGGCATCACCACCAGGACATACACTCACCCTCACATGGCATCACCACCCGGACATACACTCACCCTCACATGGCATCACCACCAGGACATACACTCACCTCACATGGCTCACACCACCAGGACATACACTCATGCCTCACATGGCATCACCCCAGGACATACACTCACCCTCACATGGCATCACCACCAGGACATACACTCATCCCTCACATGGCATCACCACCAGGATATACACTCACCCTCACATGGGATCACCACCAGGACATACACTCACCCTCACATGGCATCACCACCAGGACATACACTCACCCTCACATGGCATCACCCCCAGGACATACACTCACCCTCACATGCATCACCCCAGGACATACACTCACCCTCACATGGCATCACCACCGGACATACACTCACCCTCACATGGCATCACCCCAGGACATACACTCACCCTCACATGGCATCACCACCAGGACATACACTCACCTCACATGGCATCACCACAGGACATACACTCACCCTCACATGGCATCACCACCAGGACATACACTCACCCCTCACATGGCTCACCACCAGGACATACCACTCACCCCCCACATGGCATCACCCACCAGGACATACACTCACCCTCACATGGCATCACCACCAGGACATACACTCACCCCTCACATGGCATCACCACCAGGACATACACTCACCCTCACATGGCATCACCACCAGGACATACACTCACCCTCACATGGCATCACCACCAGGACATACCCCTCACCCTCAATGGCATCACCACCAGGACATACACTCACCCTCACATGGCATCACCACCAGGACATACACTCACCCTCACATGGCATCACCACCAGACATACACTCACCTCACATGGCATCACCCAGGACATACACTCACCCTCACATGGCATCACCACCAGGACATACACTCACCCTCACATGGCATCACCACCAGGACATACACTCACCCTCACATGGCATCACCACCAGGACATACACTCACCCTCACATGGCATCACCACCAGGACATACATCACCCTCACATGGCCCTCACCACCAGGACATACACTCACCCTCACATGGCATCACCCCAGGACATACACTCACCCCTACATGGCATCACCCACCAGGACATACACTCACCCTCACATGGCATCACCCCAGGACATACACTCACCCTCACATGCATCACCACCAGGACATACACTCACCCTCACATGGCATCACCACCAGGACATACACTCACCCTCACATGGCATCACCACCAGGACATACACTCACCCTCACATGGCATCACCACCAGGACATACACTCACCCCCACATGGCATCACCACCAGGACATACACTCACCCTCACATGGCATCACCACCAGGACATACACTCACCCTCACATGGCATCACCACCAGGACATACACTCACCCTCACATGGCATCACCACCAGGACATACACTCACCCTCACATGGCATCACCACCAGGACATACACTCACCCTCACATGGCATCACCACCAGGACAAGCACTCACCCTCACTGGCATCACCACCAGGACATACACTACCCTCACATGGCATCACCACCAGGACATACACTCACCCTCACATGGGATCACCCCACCACCCCACGCCACCACCCATACCCCTCACCCTCACATGGCATCACCACCAGGACTACACTCACCCTCACATGCATCACCACCAGACATACACTCACCCTCACTGCATCACCACCAACATACACTCACCCTCAATGGCATCACCACCAGGACATACACTCACCCTCACATGGCATCACCACCAGGACATTACCTAACACCCCACACTGGCATCACCACCAGGACATACACTCACCCTCACATGGCATCACCACCAGGACATACACTCACCCTCACATGGCATCACCTACACACCCCAACAGGTATGACGTCCTCAAATGTAAACGGGGTTATATATTCACCCTCACATGGCGATAACTACCGAAATTCACTAATACATGGCATTACAACAGGGTATACATCATTTCAGGCTCAATTTTGGGCATTAACCAATCTAAACTATTACCTCACATCAGACCAAGGATTATTACAATGGACCCTCACATGGAAATAGAAGAGCGAGGCATGGGAATACTCACATTTGTTATCCCACCAGGACTACCTCAAACCTTTTTAAACAAAGGGGCGCCACCTGCCGCCCAGGACATACCTTTGCCCAGTGTGTCCTTACCAGGAAAATGAACACTCACCTTTCCCCGATGGATTTTAACTCAGTAATAAGTTAAGTCTTTTCTTGTATTCCCACAGAGACTACCTCTGGGACCGCTTTACTGCATTTTGATAATCTCTCATTCGATTGATCCGGAAAGCCCTCCAGGGACGTTTGTTTTACTCTACATGTTAATTGCAATAAACAGAAAAATCATGCTTTCCGGTTAAATTATATATATATATATTAATATATTATTATGTAGCACTCAGTTCTTCCCTTGAGTGAAATTTACAGTGTTTGTCCTCAGTGATATGTACATCATTTCCCTAATTTTTATACCTCTCATTTTTGAGTTACATTTTCATAATCACTTGTTAAACAAATCCCCCTAGCTGACGTAATTTCGGTCTTTCCACTTCTCCTGACTTATTCCTAATTTGTTCATACCACTTGGAAACAATATACATCATTCTGTCTCTTCCGGCATGTGCATTCACATACCAGAAAATACAGATTCGTAAAGCCTGACTCTCTCAGCTCATTGTGCTCTTCTCAAGCAATCACTCTTTTCCTTCATGATTCTTTGATCTAATTTAGTACTCGTTATTCCTTGTCTGTTCTTTAAAATTTGTCCAAGCCCAGTTGGTCTATGTAAATTACATGTTCAAATTATTAGTTCGGTCCATCCTTTTCTTTCTTCCGCATTAGCTACTTATCATTGAACTCCAGTAAGTTCAAATCCCCAGATATCTATATGTCTGATTATCTTCTCCTTTACTTTACATATTTGCATAACCTTTAATGCTTCTTATTATCCCCTTCTTTAATATGGAACATTGTTGATTCCACTCTCTGGCAGCTGTTTTGTGCAGATGAATGTAGATTTTACATAGTCCTTCACTCTTATAGAATTCATGGAGAGAGATTTTTCTGTCCTGTTGCTTTTAAAGTGCCAGCACTTCTTCACTCTGTAATTTCCTCACCTCTTCTCCTGTTGTGTGTATTGTGTCCAATACTCGCGGTGCTCTCTCTCTCTCTCTCTCTCTCTCTCTCTCTCTTCTCTCTCTCTCTCTCTTGATTTTCACACATTTCCTTATCAATTTCTGGGATCCTCTGGTCGTCCTTTTTTCTTTGTAATCTGTGATTAACATTTAATGCATTTTTACAATGAAAAACGTGGGTCCATCTTGCTCTTGTCTACTATTTTCTTGTCTAAGTTTCTTCCTCCCTGTTTCCACTTCCATATTAATATCCGTCTTGTTTGAATCTCCGGCAAGTTTCTCGATTGTCTTCCATCTAATAACGTTTCCAAGATCTTTGTATCATGTAAGTCACTATCCCGGACCTTCCCTTAAACTATTACTTACTTTTAATACTTTTTATACGTAAACTGTTTGATTTTATATAGGTTACAGACATCTTTGAATACATGCATTTCTGTCCATTGTAAGTTGAGTTTGAAGTGTAACTCATATAAGTGTTGAAGCTCCTCAGATGTAACACATGTAAGTGTTGAAGCTCCTCAGATGTAACACATGTAAGTGTTGAAGATCCTCAGATGTAACACATGTAAAGTGTTTGAAGCTCCTCAGATGTAAACACATGTAATGTTGAAGCTCCTCAGATGTAACACATGTAAGTGTTGAAGATCCTCAGATGTAACACATGTAAGTGTTGAAGCTCCTCAGATGTAACACATGTAAGTGTTGAAGCTCCTCAGATGTAACACATGTAAGTGTTGAAGCTCCTCAGATGTAACACATGTAAGTGTTGAAGCTCCTCAGATGTAACACATGTAAGTGTTGAAGCTCCTCAGATGTAACACATGTAAGTGTTGAAGCTCCTCAGATGTAACACATGTAAGTGTTGAAGATCCTCAGATGTAACACATGTAAGTGTTGAAGCTCCTCAGATGTAACACATGTAAGTGTTGAAGCTCCTCAGATGTAACACATGTAAGTGTTGAAGCTCCTCAGATGTAACACATGTAAGTGTTGAAGATCCTCAGATGTAACACATGTAAGTGTTGAAGCTCCTCAGATGTAACACATGTAAGTGTTGAAGCTCCTCAGATGTAACACATGTAAGTGTTGAAGCTCCTCAGATGTAACACATGTAAGTGTTGAAGTTCCTCAGATGTAACACATGTAAGTGTTGAAGCTCCTCAGATGTAACACATGTAAGTGTTGAAGTTCCTCAGATGTAACACATGTAAGTGTTGAAGCTCCTCAGATGTAACACATGTAAGTGTTGAAGTTCCTCAGATGTAACACATGTAAGTGTTGAAGCTCCTCAGATGTAACACATGTAAGTGATGAAGCTCCTCAGATGTAACACATGTAAGTGTTGAAGATCCTCAGATGTAACACATGTAAGTGTTGAAGCTCCTCAGATGTAACACATGTAAGTGTTGAAGCTCCTCAGATGTAACACATGTAAGTGTTGAAGTTCCTCAGATGTAACACATGTAAGTGTTGAAAGCTCCTCAGATGTAACACATGAAGTGTTGAAGTTCCTCAGATGTAACACATGTAAGTGTTGAAGCTCCTCAGATGTAACACATGTAAGTGTTGAAGCTCCTCAGATGTAACACTCAAATTATCACACGAAAACGCAGTATTTCAGTTTTTAACAATCTCTTCCACAAAGAAGCAAATTATAACCAACACACAAGCCAAAATTAATCCAAACTTTTCTCCAAGTTAGATTAGCCAACTTCTAAGAAAGTTTTAGTCTGATGTAACTTTAGTGTACTCACCCGATGTTTTGATATGAGACATTTGACAATTATTTCACAAAAACCAATAAGATTTAAGCTGACCAGAAGATTCATCTCCAAATTATTGCTCAGAATCTTAGAAAATTTGTGCCTACACAGCCTAAACCCATCAGAGACTATCAATTTCATTCGATGAATCAGCCAATGAAGATTAATATCTTTCACAATAATTGTTATATATTAATCGGAGGAAACGCGCTAAACCCATAGGGGTTATATAACTCCTGTGAAAAGGAAGGCAATCAAATTCGATCTAAGCATGGGAAAGTTCAGCACCTTGGATCAAGGCTAAGTAATAGGCTAAGGTAAATAATACAACACCATTTCGAGATTAATGGTGGCATAATAGCGAATACACACTCCATTAACTATACAGACGTTTTACTGAGCCACACAAGTGTTTAAATTATTATAAAAGTGAAGAGATGAGCCTCTCTCTCTCTCTCTCTCTCTCTCTCTCTCTCTCTCTCTCTCTCTCTTCTCTCTCTCTCTCTCTCTCTCTCTCTCTCTCTCTCTCTCTCTCTCTGCCTGTCACACGGACAAAAAATTGGGGAATGACCTATGTAGTGTGCCCAGTACTGAAAAATTTAAACTAATCGAATAAGGCGTTCTAGAATAAACAAAAATCTGTGAAAATTTTAAACCGATAGAATAAAACGTTCTGAAATAATAAAACAAAATTGTGAAAAAAAGTAAAGGAAAATATTGCCGAGAACGTTCAGAAAATAGGAAGTCTTCGTCGATTAACCTAAAAACATCATAAACCTTCGGATTTTTATTTTTGCATTTTATTTAAAATTCTATATAATCCGTTCAGAAAAATGATTAATTTGGATATTTAAAAAAAAAACAATTTGATAGAATTAACAAAAATAAATATTGACAAACTGGCACCCATACAGCCTAAAATTAGAAGAAAAAATTATTCCAATTAAAATATGCCAGTATTTAGGGTTTCAAAACGATCAGAAGAGGAATTCTTTAGTTATGACATTTGAAACAATTTGCTTAATAAAATTGGCAAATTAAAATTTACACAACTGAAAGAGAGAGACAAGCTATGTTTTGATTAAGCTTATCTATGACGGAATTTTGAAGACGATCAGAAGCACACCTTTGTCAATAATTAATCTAATTCCCCCAACTCCATTTTTTTTACCTATTTTAGTAAATATCAAATTTGTACCTACTTGATGTAAACTTATAGATCGTCATCCATCTTACTGAATGCATCAACAATATTTTGAGTAAGTAAAAGAAACATTCTTCAGATATAGAATAAAAAAAATTAATATTGCTTTGTATCCAATATTGCAAACTAGGGTTTATGTCAGCCAGCAGCAACATGAACCGTGTGTTCAAGACACCATACCAGAGGTGAAAAATGAAGCCGGTCTGATATGTCATTCCCAATTAAGGCAGGGATTCTAATTCAAAGTTATTTTTATTATATTACTACATCAACATATTCTCCAGCATGCAAACGAACCTTAATATGTATTATCCAGGCCCTGCGATGCATCAGCCATTAAATATTGAATCCGTTCAGAAACGTAAACTGAAAACTAAAGTTATTTGACAGGATTAAAAGAAAATCACACTATTTTATACATAAAATCGTCAAATTTGACACTTTTTTCGGTATTTGAAGTTACTCCATTTAGAGTCTTGGAAGTTATCCAAGCCATTCTCGGATACTGAGAGTAGGATGAACACCCATGATCATAGGGCACCTGAACATGCCACTTGTTCCTAGAATTTGGTCCCTGTTATCGTACATAAGTGTTTAAATTTTAAAGGCGATTGGATGAGGCATTCTTGAATTATGGGCGAAATAAAATCGAGAAGTTGGAGAAAGGAGAAAGTAAATTAAGGCAACGTCTTTAGGGATACGTAATCTAGATGTGATCTACTTCCAAGAAAATAAATTAGGACCGACACCTGTAGTCGTTGGGGTCTAGAGGCTTGCCGTCTTTGGTTACAGAGATGGAGATCGGAGCGTCTCCCCGCGCCTCGCATTGCAGCTTGACGTTCTCACCCCGTCTGACCTCTGCTGACCCGTCACCAGAGACAGCAGGTGGCGCTGCAGAAAGAGAAATATGGTAACGTCACTGCTGAAAGATGTTTGACAAACAGTTAAAAATATGGAACACATGCGCCTCGCATGAAATATATGTAATATATGTGTATATATATATATATATTTCGTGCTGAATAGGTAAAACTGGTCAGTTAGCAAGAACTCGTTTAAAATTTAGTCCTTTCTAAAAAATTTCTCTTATATGTTTAATAGAAATGAAAAATATATCTTTCATGTAAAAATTAATAATCTTGTACCAAAAGAACCTTAGAAATTTTACCTAAACTTATTATGAAATATATTTTTTCTGTTCAGAATGATTTTTGCGAAATTATTGTATGCACAAATTTTCCCTTGTCTTATTCAGTAAGAAGAGCGTTGCTGTTTAAGCCAAAATTGCAAGTTCTACCTATTCGGCCCGATATTTATATATCTTTCTTTTTCTTTCAACATACCGGCCGTATCCCACCGAGGCGGGGCGGACCCCAAAAAGAAAAAGCGAAAGTTTTCTCCTTCTATATTTAGTACTATATACAGGAGAAGAGGTTACTAGCCCCTTGTTCCCGACATTTTAGTTGCATCTTACAACACGCATGGCTTACGGAGGAAGAATTCTGTTCCACTTTCCCATGGAGATAAGTGGAAATAAACAAGAAACAAGAACTAGTAAGAAAAATAGAAGAAAACCCAGAAGGGTGTGTATATATACATTGTACAGGCATGTGTAGTGTGGTATATATATATATATATTATATATATATAAAATATATATATATAATATATATATTATATATATATATAATATTCAATAAGATCACAGTAAAACAGGTGATTTTTAAATATGCAAAACAAAAAACACTGTGTAAGAGCAGTGAAATTCCAAGCGCTTTCGTGATACTCACTTTTGTCATGGAACTATGAAAGTAAAAACATCAAAGGAAGGATATAAAAGGGGTCTAGACCACACCTCACAGTCACATCCACAACAAACCCCTGACGTCGCGCGTCAGGTGTTTCTTTGTTGTGGGATGTGACTGTGAGGTGGGGTTTCTAGACCCTTTATATGCCTTCCTTTGATGTATTACTTTCATAGTTCCTTGACAATGTGAGTAGTCCATAATCCCCTTAGGGGGGTTATGGGAAAAGTAGCACCCTCACCGTGCGGGATGGAAGGGGGAGGGGAAGGGTGTGTCAGGTGAGAGCGTGGGACGACAGGTTAAGGAAGTAATGAGAAGACAGAAAACCTGTAGAGAAGCAAAAATTTTTTGGGGTTAGGAAGTTTGTGTTATGTGATTCCATCTCACATGGTCTTCAAATGCAGACGAACTGATGAACTGGCTAAGTTCTGTGCCTTCAAAGAGGGAGACTGACCCAATAAGTCCATCTATCATCATTCTATCACGCAGGAAGAGCCACATGTCTATGGAGCATCCAACAAGATAAGCAGACTCTTGGATGTCACACTCCCCCGGCTCCGGCTGGGTTACAAGTATCTATGGCAGGTTAAATCACCACCACCAGATGTAGACCAAACGAAATGTAAACTTTGCCAGATGGATTATTGTCACACTTTGCGTCATTATGTACTGGGTGTGAAAAATGAATGAATTCAAAGACAACTCACTCAGAATGTTCAAGAAATGGCAAAGTATTTTATCCACAGTAATTCATATTACAAACCATTCTGGAAAAATACAGTGACTTTGCTCACTGTAAATAAAACATTACCACTGTGTGTGCATGTGTGTGTATGACCAAATTAATGCCTGCATAAATAACTCATTACGATTGTGATCAGATATAAACATGTAAATAGTTCATTACCTCTGTAACTTGTTCATTATTATTATAATCATGGAGGAGCGCTACACCCGCAGGATTATACAGCGCATGTGGGGGGATGGGAGGTATTCAAGCTCAATTCAGGGAACTGGAGAACAGATCCAATTCCCCAGATAAGAGCCCCTCACCAGAGTCAAGGAACCTCCTTTGGGGGGGGGTAACTTGTTCAGCTATCAGAACTTTGTACTCCAGTCCCTGGACCCATTATGTACCTCTGTAATCCTGTAACTACCGCCCACAGGATGGGTATGTCGTTCACAATAAAGATATTAAGCTACGTGATTCGTGTTCTTTGTGTTAGGTCGTGAGGACGAAGTACATACCTAGCTTAGACGTAAGAATTGCGAGCCACAAATTTGGTACACCCTGAGAAAAGAACCCGAAAGGAAACCTCTTTATCTTGTTTGGGTAAAGTAGGTGAACAAAGCGTGCAGCTAATATCCAAAAGTAGGTGAACAAAGCGTGCAGCTAATATCCAAAAGTAGGTGAACAAAGCGTGCAGCTAATATCCAAAAGTAGGTGAACAAAGCGGGGCAGCTAAATATCCAAAGTAGGTGAACAAAGCGTGCAGCTAATATCCAAAAGTAGGTGAACAAAGCGTGCAGCTAATATCCAAAAGTAGGTGAACAAAGCGTGCAGCTAATATCCAAAAGTAGGTGAACAAAGCGTGCAGCTAATATCCAAAAGTAAGTGAACAAAGCGTGCAGCTAATATCCAATTGTGATAGTTTTCTACAATAAACTATAAGAGTATTTTTGGCACTTCTACAAACTAGTGTGTCCAAAAGTAATGGCAGACTCTTTCCTTCGTATTTATCTTTTAACTTTGTATTTCTTCTCAAAGAATTAAGACGATCTAAGGACTGTGGGACATCAGTAGAGGACGGTCTTCACACTTATTGAAATGTATATATGTATATGTGTGTGTACTTACCTGGTTGTGGATGCTGGGGTCGTGTCACAGCTCCTGGCCCCGCATCTTCACTGGTGGCTACTAGGTCACCCTTCCTGCTCCATGAGCTTTATCGTACCTCTTCTTAAAGCTATGTATGGATCCTGCCCCCCACTGCATCACTTCCCAGACCCTTCCACTTCCTGACAACTCTGTGACTGAAGAATTATTTTTTTTTTTTTATTATCACACCGGCCGATTCCCACCAAGGCAGGGTGGCCCGAAAAAGAAAAACTTTCACCATCATTCACTCCATCACTGTCTTGCCAGAAGGGTGCTTTACACTACAGTTTTTAAACTGCAACATTAACACCCCTCCTTCAGAGTGCAGGCACTGTACTTCCCATCTCCAGAACTCAAGTCCGGCCTGCCGGTTTCCCTGAATCCCTTCATAAATGTTACTTTGCTCACACTCCAACAGCACGTCAAGTATTAAAAACCATTTGTCTCCATTCACTCCTATCAAACACGCTCACGCATGCCTGCTGGAAGTCCAAGCCCCTCGCACACAAAACCTCCTTTACCCCCTCCTCCAACCCTTCCTAGGCCGACCCCTACCCCGCCTTCCTTCCACTACAGACTGATACACTCTTGAAGTCATTCTGTTTCGCTCCATTCTCTCTACATGTCCGAACCACCTCAACAACCCTTCCTCAGCCCTCTGGACAACAGTTTTGGTAATCCCGCATCTCCTCCTAACTTCCAAACTACGAATTCTCTGCATTATATTCACACCACACATTGCCCTCAGACATGACATCTCCACTGCCTCCAGCCTTCTCCTCGCTGCAACATTCATCACCCACGCTTCACACCCATATAAGAGCGTTGGTAAAACTATACTCTCATACATTCCCCTCTTTGCCTCCAAGGACAAAGTTCTTTGTCTCCACAGACTCCTAAGTGCACCACTCACTCTTTTTCCCTCATCAATTCTATGATTCACCTCATCTTTCATAGACCCATCCGCTGACACGTCCACTCCCAAATATCTGAATACGTTCACCTCCTCCATACTCTCTCCCTCCAATCTGATATTCAATCTTTCATCACCTAATCTTTTTGTTATCCTCATAACCTTACTCTTTCCTGTATTCACCTTTAATTTCTTCTTTTGCACACCCTACCAAATTCATCCACCAATCTCTGCAACTTCTCTTCAGAATCTCCCAAGAGCACAGTGTCATCAGCAAAGAGCAGCTGTGACAACTCCCACTTTGTGTGTGATTCTTTATCTTTTAACTCCACGCCTCTTGCCAAGACCCTCGCATTTACTTCTCTTACAACCCCATCTATAAATATATTAAACAACCACGGTGACATCACACATCCTTGTCTAAGGCCTACTTTTACTGGGAAAAAATTTCCCTCTTTCCTACATACTCTAACTTGAGCCTCACTATCCTCGTAAAAACTCTTCACTGCTTTCAGTAACCTACCTCCTACACCATACACTTGCAACATCTGCCACATTGCCCCCCTATCCACCCTGTCATACGCCTTTTCCAAATCCATAAATGCCCAAAGACCTCTTTAGCCTTATCTAAATACTGTTCACTTATATGTTTCACTGTAAACACCTGGTCCACACACCCCTACCTTTCCTAAAGCCTCCTTGTTCATCTGCTATCCTATTCTCCGTCTTACTCTTAATTCTTTCAATTATAACTCTACCATACACTTTACCAGGTACACTCAACAGACTTATCCCCCTATAATTTTTGCACTCTCTTTTATCCCTTTGCCTTTATACAAAGGAACTATGCATGCTCTCTGCCAATCCCTAGGTACCTTACCCTCTTCCATACATTTATTAAATAATTGCACCAACCACTCCAAAACTATATCCCACCTGCTTTTAACATTTCTATCTTTATCCCATCAATCCCGGCTGCCTTACCCCCTTTCATTTTACCTACTGCCTCACGAACTTCCCCCACACTCACAACTGGCTCTTCCTCACTCCTACAAGATGTTATTCCTCCTTGCCCTATACACGAAATCACAGCTTCCCTATCTTCATCAACATTTAACAATTCCTCAAAATATTCCTTCCATCTTCCCAATACCTCTAACTCTCCATTTAATAATTCTCCTCTCCTATTTTTAACTGACAAATCAATTTGTTCTCTAGGCTTTCTTAACTTGTTAATCTCACTCCAAAACTTTTTCTTATTTTCAACAAATTTGTTGATAACATCTCACCCACT